TTGCATTCATTATTATTATTTCTTTTCCCTTGATTTTTAAAATGGTTTGTTGATTCTCAGGGTGGTTCTGTATATTTCTGAGGTATTTTTGGCTTCAAAACGCCGAGTTTGATAACAATAATTAAAACTTCTCAGTGTCTGACATTGTCTAGCTAAATGTTTTTACATCAGGCTACATGGCTGCTACATTAATATATCAATGAGCTACTCTGCTTTAGTTGTCAATATATATTAATTTGCTGCTGAGCATAATTATGTCTAAAACAAACAGTATTTTTATATCAATTTATAAGTTATGTGAAACTTGTCCAGTTAAAATTGTTTGAAGGCTCAGACTCAGTTCAGTACCGGTCAGGTGAGAAAGACTCTCCTGGTATAAATTATTATAATTACACCTAACAGAAATTAATTTAATCAGAGAATGTCATGACTATGTGTGTAGGGCTGCATCAATTTCAGTTTTCTGGCTGATCACGGATTACCAATCTTTAAAAAGCTTTACCATTCAATTTAGATTTTTCTCGATACCAATTTTTTTTTCTCTGAAATGTTGCTAAATGTACTGAGTTGGTAACAGTGGGGTGAATATTAACTGAAAATGTGCAGACCTGACCTGGTGGGCTGGTCTGTTAGTAAAACTTCTCATTGCAGAGCAGACAAGGACAGAGGCTGATGTGGATAAGATCAACGTCACATGTAAGCATTGGCCGATCACCCATTCCCCCAAAGTTAAGGAAATCGGCGCCGATAAATGGGCCAACACATGTATCCTATATTATAAGTGCATATTGGATATAATGTAAACATCACTGTCAGAGATGCAATAAGTTTAGCAGGTTTTTGAATGATCTAACAATTTGACTGCTGATTGCAGCCAGTCTACAATATTAGCAAAACTAGAGGGCCCCAAAACCAAATTTCACTTAGGGGCCCATGAAGGCTTGGGCCGGCCCTGCTTCTGAATTTCCTGCTTTCCTGATTTTAATTATTTTCTAGTACAAAAATACATGAAAAGAAGGCCTCCTTCTCTGGACCTGAATCATCCTCAGCCTCTGTAGTTCATTAAACATCCTCTGACCTCCAGCTGCATTCTGCGTGTTCTGAACTCACCGACGGTCTGACCCACTCCACCCGGACCAGGTCGGCGGGCTGCAGGATGTCCCTGCCGATGGAGCGGTGGTCGGGGGGGAACATGTCATCGATGAACCTCACCTGGCGGATGAGGCAGTACTCTTTCAGCTGCTGGAAATCCTGGTTCAGGAACTTCTCGGGGTTGGAAACGGTTCCATATCCGTCCTTAGAGTGACGAGCGCTGATGATATTCATGCAGACGCCTGGAGCGAGCATGGCTGCAGCGTCCTGCAGAAAGCACCACCAGTCTGCCTGTAGACATCACTTCAAAGCAACAGCAACATCCACTGAAGATGTCCCCATAAGGATACATAACCCGACACTCACTGCGGTTCTCACTAACTATTTCATAGATCACTGTATTCACTGAAGCAGCTTCCTGCTGTGAACACTGCAGTCAGACTTACCTTTTAAAAGTTTCTGTCAGGATCTCACCTGGTGTTGCTGTAGGGAAGACTGAGTCTGATTTGAGGGGCAGATTGAGGAGCAGCTGCAGCTCCTTTATAGAGTGGCTGTTCTCCAGCAGACTCATTAGCTGAGCTGCCATTGGATTAGCTGAAGCCAAAGGAACAGCGTTCAGACCTGCACACTCAGTCAAGCAGCAGAGTCTGCCATGCATGAAACCAGAAATGTTTGGAATGATTTGCCAAAGTTTGACGAATTTCTCCAAGTTATTCATAGAAACAGCATGAATCACCTGCAGAAGCAGCTTCTTCCTCAGTTCCTCTGTAAAGTGAATCTCTGTCGGTGAACATGTCGGCGCCTCAGCATGAAACTCAGCCCGGTGTGTGACCATCAGACGCGCTTGTCTGGATTCTTAAAGCGTTTTTGGAAAAGATGCAGAAAATCTTAAAGGACATCAGAGACTGTGAAGGAAGGAGTTTTTAACCTCCAAATGTCTTGCACTGATTTTCTTCATGGATGCCAGCAGAACGGCGCTGAGAAGATGGTGGAACCGTGAGCAGGCTCCAGAGCAGAGGCGAGGAGTTTAAGGGCCTGGTTCTCACCTGGAGGAGAATGGCTCCAGCTGCCAGAGACTCATCCAGCTGTTTTCCATGTTGTCTGTTTCAGGATTGGTCAGATTGAGACTCTGACAGAACCTGGCTGGAGGAGAAGACGTGGCTCTGAAGCAGGAAGTTCATTAGGTGAACTGATGCAGGTGCGGTGAGGTCCACGACTTTCATCCTGCAGCTCCTTGGTCCCAGGTCTTCGCTGCCTCAGCATCGGGGTCAAAGGTTGAGGAGATTCTGCAGCCAGGTGGTTCTGGCCTTGGGGTCCGCCATGGAGGTTCAGCCAATCAGCACCGAGGGAAATGAATGGTGCCGGTCGATTGGAGTGGCATTGTGGCTTTTCAGCTTTCTTCTTTGAATATTTTGGAATAATTGTAGTTTTGTTCCACAGAAACATCTAGAAACAGGCGAGTCCTAAACCAGAACTAAATGCTGATTCTGCTGCCATCTGCTGGCCTTGTCTAGGCTCTGCTACGTTCCCAGCTGGATGGAGATTTATTTACTCCGGTGTCTGTATGGAGAGTCTGTGACATCCTCTAAGACAGGGCTGACTGCATTTGGAGAATTTTACAGAGGCGTCAGTAAAACTCAGAGAAGAGTTTTGTGGTCCAACAAGCCGAGTTCAGAGAGGCAGCTGGAATAAATGTCTCTGTTCACAGCGACAAGAACCAGAAACAGAACAGAGCTGTTTCTGGTTCCAGCTGGGAGATAACTCTGTAAGAGCTGAACACAAAGAAGGAAGGCGCGGCTGTTTGCTTCCACCGCTTTATGAAAACTGAACAGCAGACACCAGGAGAAGTAGAGACTTTATGAAACGGCTGAATGTTGTGATGCTGCTGAGCCTGTCGAACAGTCCAGAGCTGTTAAACTCAGCAGGGCAGCGAAGTGTTTCTGTAAGGAAACGGTTCAGGCTGTGTTTATCAGGGTCACCTCTCTGCTGCTCCAACTGCTTTGATTATTCAGGTAATTATTGACAGGTGAGCCGCTGCTCTGGGATCAGCGTACCTGTCATAAAGTCATAAATGCAGCAGCAGGTTCACCTGTTGGCTCGTCAGGCTGGAAGCCGCAGTCGGCTGCTGCAGGTGCCTCCAGGTGTGGCTCACATCGTTTCTCTGTTGCTTCAGATCTAAAGTCTCAGCTGTCCTGCCCTCTGAGCCTCCAGGTAAGCTCTAACTTCTCTTTGCTCTCAGTGCAGGACACACAGCGGCGGTTAGCAGCAGGAATCTGATTTACATGTTTAGTTTTATCTGAGGAGCTGACGCTGTGACATGCTGAGACTCCTTGATGATTCTTCGCTTTCTCTGAATGACTTCTGCGTTCTGCATAGCAGACAGGTTCAGGAGGCGCTAGGCATGATGGGTAAACCCCTTCATAGGCTCACCAATCAGAGCGGTTTTCTCACCGATTGTGAGTTTCATGGAAACTCAGCTGTTCAGTCTTTGTCTCTCCAGTTCCTTCACATGGTGTGGAAGCGCTTTTATTTCCCCTTTGAACCATTCCTGAGTTCTAGCTTCGGTTTTCTATGCTTCTCACTTTCCTTCCAGGTGTTTTTCAGCCTAGGACTTTTCTCAACCCAGTTTTAGGAGTTTCTGTAGACGATTATTTTTGCTTGATGCCAAAGATCAAACACAGGATGTGTGTAAGAAATGAGAAGCTCCTCATTGCACCAGCTGATCCAATCGCAGGATCCAACCTGTTGGCCTAGTTAAATCCTGTTGTCCGCTGTTTTTGACCAGACAGTAGGTCAATGCTAAAGACGCTAACTGTGCAGAATGCTGCATCCAAATATGTTAATGTGAAGACATTCCAGCAGCTGGACTCAGAGGCGCAAAAAGTGGGTATGCAGCGTATGCAACGCATAGGGGCGCAGCACCAGAGGGGGCGCCAAAACCCCGTCTGGAGGGGGCGACGCGCCGATTATGTTTTCCCATACAGTTCAGCGCCTCACGCTGCTTCACCTCTCGCACATAAGAGGTACATGTAGCGAGTTTTACACTTCACGCAGCGTCGCCTTGGGGGGGCGCCGATTTATGTTTTCGCATCCACCTGAATAATGTGCAGTTGCGCCACTGGCTGGACTCCAACCATCTTTATGCTAAATGGCTTCTGAAGCAGAAACATCAGAACCAGGCCGGAGAGAACGGACCGGACCATCAGGGTCCAGAGTCCTTCAGTCCTCCATTCCCAAAGGGAAATTCAGATGAAAGGAAACCTTTGATTTTATTGAGGAATGAAGATCAGAGTCTGGAGGAAACATGAGGAGCTCAACAAAGTTTCACCTGAAAGGAAAAAGGTTTAGAAAGACGAGAGGATACAGACGGTTCTGCTGTAGAAAACTGCAGCACCAGAGGGGAATCAACTGGAATATGGAACTGGACCTGCAGTCCTGAACGTCTCCACTAGTTACTACTTACTACTAACTAACTAGTTACTAGTTACTTCCAGAAATGGCACATGGTTACAGCTTGTTGCTGAACTGATGAACAAGCTCTGAATTTTGCTGGGTTTTTTTGTTTTTTTTACTCTTTTCTCATGTAAAGCTCTTTACGGGAGCTTCAGGTTAACCAGGCCTTGCCTTGGCTCAGAGTCCGGCGACCTTTGACCTGGGCTGTCTGTAACGTGCCCAGCCGTCGGCCCGCAGCCATGCCGCCTCCAGGAGCCTGTCTGAACATCATGGAGGCCCGCCACCGCCGGGACGGCTTCGGCCGCGCCTGCAGCCCCGGCCGGCTGTTCGGACAGGACTTCCAGCAGCTGAAGGAGTTCTGTGTCAGCAGGCGGCTGAAGTTCATCGATGACATGTTCCCGCCTGACAGGAAGTCCATCGGACAGGGAGTCCTGAGCCCTTCGGACCTGGCCCGGGTCGTCTGGCTCCGGCCGGCGGTGAGTGGTTTCAGATCAGGCTGATCAGACGCTGCAGGTGTCAGATGGAAAGCCGGTTGACTTGTTGCTTCTTGCAGAGAATCGTCCAGAACCCGTCCTTCGTCCTGAGAGGGTTCTCCAGGTTTGACTTTGGTCAAGGAGTTCTGGGTGAGGCCGTCGTTCCTGTTGTAGCCGTTTCATCGGATTTCCTGGTAACTTGTTTGTTTCTCTGATCAGGAAACTGCTGGTTTCTGGCATCGATCGGCGCACTGACGTTCCAGGATCAAATCCTCCAGCAGGTCGTCCCTCAGGAACAAGGCTTTGATGAGAACTACTGCGGCCTGTTTCATTTCAGGGTAAAACGACACGTCCGTCTCCATGGAAACAGGCCTGGTTCTTACAAGTTCTTGTCCTGCCAGTCTGTCGGTGTGGCTTTCAGAGTGACGCTCGATGAACTGCGCAGTCCTTGATGGAGTCGTGCTGCCGGTCGGAGACGTTCCTCCCCGGGTTGGTTCTTCTGTCTATGCCGGCCACAAGGACTCATTTTACCGGACAAGAAAACTGTCCCAGAAATTATCGCCAGAAACAACATAGACCAAAGTCGACTAATATAACGGTGATGATAAGGGGAACATTTAACACTGGAGCTGGAAAACATTTTAAATATCCAAAATAAATAAACAATACAACAATAATTAAAATGGATTATGATGATTCTCAATATTAATATTTCAGCTTGGACAGGGAAAACAGGCAAAAGTGCCAGAATCTTTAAAAATCCCCAGATTTTAATAGATATATGAGAGAAGCATCTCTCTAATGACTGCTGTCCAAACTGAACTTATTGAGCTCATTTTAATTTATAAGGTGATTAACTGACTTATTGGTTATGGGGAAGTCTGATGAAGTCAGCGGGTTTTTCTACACTCTGGTGCCGTCTGCATGTTTCCTCATCCAGTTTCAAACAGGGTTGTAGGTTCAACTTCCCCAGAGGCAGATGGTTCTGCATTTGGCTGAGTAACATGGTGGATATTTGACCCCGGGTTGGTTTCCTGGCACTGAAGTCCGTGGAGGCCAGAGTGTTGGGAACCAGAACCGTAACGTGTGTTTGGGATCGTTGTCCAACTGGAGCCTGACCTCCTTCTTTAGTCGTTTTGTACGATGCAGAGGACCACTGGTAATGAAACGGTCCCACAGGATGACACTGCCACCACCATGCCTGACGGTTGGTAGGGTGCTCCCAGGTCTTAAAGACTCCCCCAGACTTTTCATTGAGATCTAATTGTTCAGTCTTTGTTTCCTCTGAGCAGAGGAGCAGCAGATTGTGGTCTGGATTTTTCCTGAACATTCAAACATGTAAGTGAGGAAAACTATGGAGGAAATAAAGGGTTCTAACAGAAGGCATTAAAACCTCCGATGGTTCTGACTTTAGTCACCATGATGGGTGTATGTAAACTTCTGAACACCAGTGGTTATTTGGCAGCTAGTTCTCTGGGCTAACAAAACGTTTTTTCCTCTGTTTAGTTCTGGAGATTTGGGAAGTGGGTGGACGTTGTGATTGATGACAAGCTGCCAACAATCAACGGCAGCCTGATCTTCGTTCAGTCCAAGAAGCAGAACGAGTTCTGGCCCGCCCTGCTGGAGAAAGCATACGCCAAGTACGCTCGGACCGCTCGTGTTCAGCAGCTTCCTCTCTGCGTGTTACCTTTCATGCCTTCCTCCATCAGGGTGTGTGGCTCCTACACCGACATGAATGCTGGGACTCCTGCAGAGGCCATGATGGACTTCACTGGAGGCGTCCACATGTGCATCCAGCTGTCAGATCCTCCTCCGGACCTGTGGGAGCTGATGTCCAGAGCCGGGAACTTTGGCGCTCTGCTCAGCTGTAGCACGCCACAAGGGGTACGGAGAAATATGTCCTCCATTTTCTTATGATGTTCACCTCAAAATGTTTCTGAGATTTCACTGGTTTCTACACCGCGTATAGCTGGTGTGACCTTTTGGAAAACTTGTCTCTTAGTTCAGTCTGTTGTGAGTGAGACAGAAACGTAGTGGTCATTCCTTGCTGGTTGGGGCAGCAAACCCTGACTACAGACCTCCATCACACCAAGACACCAAGACCAGGCAATAATGGGTCAGTGTTGGGAATAAACAATGGAGCAAGTCAAATGTTGATGACAAACCCCCGCTGTGAGAGCCAATGATTCATAAACTCAGACATGCAGCTAACCCTAATCCATTACTAGGGTAATGGATGATATGCAGCTGTTCTTACTGTGAGCTGATCGCTGTTTTGTTGTTGATTAAAAGGAGGAACCTTGAACTGATCCAGATCTTAATGTCCTTCAGAAAGAGGCTTCAGTAACTGGATGTGGCTTTTAAAGGAAAATAAAGCTGAACTTCAGTGGAGCTGAATCTTGTGCTTTGGATGGATCGATCCTACTGGCAGCATGCTGAGAGATGGTCTCCACATGTCAGGGAATGCCATGTGTTTATCTAAAAAAGATCATTAAAAACCTATAAAGATTTTTTTCTAGTTTCTTTATTATTTTTCTACTAACATCTAATTGGGAT